CGGCGTTGGCCTGGGGGCGGCGCTGGCCCTGCTGCTGCTGCTGCTGCCCGCCTGCCGCCCGGTGCGGGCGCAGAACGACACGGAGCCCATCGTGCTGGAGGGCAAGTGCCTGGTGGTGTGCGACTCCAGCCCGTCGGCCGACGGCGCCGTCACCTCGTCCCTCGGCATCTCCGTGCGCTCGGGCAGCGCCAAGGTGGCCTTCTCCGCCACGCGCAGCACCAACCACGAGCCGTCCGAGATGAGCAACCGCACCATGACCATCTACTTCGACCAGGTCAGCGGCGTCCCGGGCCCCACGCGCGCACGTCCACGCTCTCCCCCCCACCCCTGCGTCCTGAGATGCCCATGAAACCCAGGTCCGAAGCGTGACTCCCCGAGGGGGCCGCGGGTGAGGTGGGGGTGTGGGGGGGCTGGCATTGACACTGGGAACCGCCACCCACCGTGCTGGGAAGATGGATGGGCGTCTGTACATAGCTTGGCTTCCTCCCTGGGCGGGGAAGAGAATGTTTATTTCCAAGAAAAGTGAGTGGGAAAGGCGCGGGGATGATTTTACACACACACACCCCAAGAGGATGTGCAAATGCACCGCACGCCTGCCCGGTCAGTGGAAGGCAGACCGCGCACACACCCATTACTTGGAGAGAATGAGTAATCCGGCTGCGGTGAGAACACAAACCACTTCTGCAGAAGCTACAGCCGTGATTGGGTGTTAGTGACTCGGGATGGTTCCTGCTCAGGGTTAAAGGTCATGACCTTTTCTGTGCATGACCCTCCAACTTGTTTTTTTTCCTACCCCCCCCCCACAAAAGTTGAAAATATTATAGTAGTTTTTAGACTTTGGGCAATCAAATCTTTTTACCAATATGGTCACTTTATAAAATAATAGAATTCTGGGCCAGCACTGCATGTCTCTGCACAGGATCCAAGTATAGACAGACTAACATTACTCAAACCTTAAGTACACAGATTGACACTCGCCAGTGCCTCACCCTAGGCAGTTAAGGATTGCTTGTGTGTGTGTAAAAATAATTTTCTGCTGTTACGGTTATGTTTTTATTTACAAAGCATAAAGCAATCTATTCACTTCCAGATAAGGGAAGACTAGTGAAATAGGCATCCAGAAAATACATTTTTCTTAAGGTGCTGCCGTTACAACATACTTTATACCTGCCAGGGCCTTAATCATCTTCACAGTTCTTCACAGCACCACATCGGTTGGTGTACCCAGCCGACGCGGACTCAGGTCAGGCCCAGTAGGGGTGGTTCTGAGGTTACAGAGGAGCTGGCTTCCGCCAGGGTGGGAGGACCTGCTCTGGGCTCGCTCCACCAGGGAGGCACTGAGGCTCAGTCCTCTGTTACTACCTCTGAGAGACTTACCATAACCTCTCCAGATTGGAAACTTGCCTCTCAGTTGACGGGGAGAGAAGAAGCCGCTCTGAGCTGGTGGGCAGAGAACGCTTTAAGCTTGTTTGAAGGGTTGTGCTGGGCACTGGGCACATGGCCTGTGGGAGAGGCGGAACTGGCAGCTTGAGGTGCTCCATGCCAGCAGGGGAGGAGCAGAATGTGTGTGAGATGCACCTGGCTGGCGGTGGCTGCCGCACTGCTTCCTGCCACTGCTGTGGTTACTGGCAGCACAGCCCCACTGCCCCTGCCCTTTGGAGGAGCTGCGAGTGGAAGAGGCCACAGCAGGAGGCCTATTTCCTGATCACGTGACTAGATCGGGAAGCCAGGAAGGAACTGGATGGCGGTGTTGACTCTTTCCAAGAACCCCTAGCAGGCCATTTAAACACGTTTAATCAATTATGTGGTGATTTGTGTGTGAAGAACAGGGATAGAAACCACACAAGATGGCCAGGCTCTGTCTTCAGCAACATATCTCCAAGAAAACCAGGTCCTCTGAGGGGGCCTTGCTGCTCTTCCAACTCTGCTGGGAACACTGTGGAGTGCTTATCCTCCTTTACTCTGTAGAACATTATGAGCTCCTGTGGTCTGTCGGGTGCGTGGCTCTGTTGTTGATCCTGCAGGCTCAATTTCCCTTGGCCAGAGCTCAGGCGATGTGGGCCACCATTTCACTCCTATTTTTTCAGGGTTAGTTACAGGAGCAGCAGTGCTAGTTTACCAAGCCCTTCCACTCCACATCCATTCCCAAGTGCCAACTGTGTGCTCTGAGGGCCTGGGACATAGCGTCTGTTCTAGGGTTAGTCTGGGGCTTGATCTCACAGGAGTGACCTCATTAAATTGGCCTGGTGCTCCCTTGGCTTTTCTCTCTCCATTTGGCAAGGACCTTGTTTGTGAAACAGCACATCATGTTGCAATTCCTATGACCACAGTCAGTCCCCAGGATCAGGCTGCATTTATAGTGCATTTCCTGACTTTACTCTCTGCCTCCTCCCTCCCTCCCTCCCTCCCTTCCTCCCTCTTTCCCTCCCTCCCTGCCTCTCTTACCACTGAACACAGAAAATTCACATCCATTTTCTGAGTACATAAATAAAATATACGCTCAGATCTTTACTAATTAGAACCCATTACAGTACCTGTGTGCTGTGTCCGTGCTGTCTTGTGGCTTAACCTTGGTCATGCCTTTCCCCAGGAGGACTGTGTGAGTGCTGAGTCTCTGTGCAGGCTCTGGGCACCCTGGTGTTGGTGATCCTGATGGGGAGCAGAGGCTGGGCAGAGGTGGGGCTTGAGGTGTCAGCTCTGTTCCCTCTTTTCTTTCAGGTCTTAGTCAATATTGGCAACCATTTTGACCTTGCCTCCAGCATATTCGTAGCCCCCCGCAAAGGGATCTATAGCTTCAGCTTCCACGTGGTCAAAGTGTATAACAGACAAACCATCCAGGTGCGTAGCCGTGAGAACTCCCCCCCCCCCCATCATCCTGGGGAAGCTTTGCCCATGGCTGAGGCCCCAGCAAGCTGTGCTCGGAGCCAGCTGGTGGTCAGACCCTCACCGTGGACCCCTCCCCAGGAAAGGCAGGGGTTGGAGGGATCGGGCTCAGGCTTGCAAGGGTTGGGGTCATGGGTGATCTGCTGAGTGTTCCCCTCTGCCTTGCAGGTCAGCTTGATGCAGAATGGCTACCCAGTCATCTCGGCATTTGCCGGGGATCAGGACGTCACCCGGGAGGCAGCCAGCAATGGCGTCCTGCTGCTCATGGAGAGGGAGGACAAGGTGCATCTCAAGCTGGAGCGGGGCAACCTCATGGGGGGCTGGAAGTACTCCACGTTCTCCGGCTTCCTGGTGTTTCCGCTATAGACGCAGGCCGCCTGCACGGTGGGAGCGCTGCAGGCCGCACCCAAGGATCGGCCTGGCCTTTTCCCTGTGACACCCCGAATTTGCCCGCCAAGGACAACTGGTTTGTCACCTCCCGTCAGACTGTGGTAGTGGAATGAACTCCTCTGGAAGCTGTGAATATTCTTTTGAATAAGGACACGTCCTCGGGAACCTGGCCTCTTGTTAGGTCTAGGCAACAAGGTCTCAAGGAGAAGTGAAGTGATCCATGGAGCAGTTTGTACCTGTGATTGTAAAGTCAGTGGGGGGTTCTCTTGCTGGGATGTCCCTCCTCTTGTTTGTACATTGTGTCCCTGTGCTGAGGGGAGAATGCTGCTGACCCTGGGTGGACAGCGGGTGATGGCCGGGACTCAGAGCAAGACAGCCCTTGCCGTGTGTTCTGTGTGTGTCTGTGTAGCCTTAAGAACCAAGAGCGGCTTCACTTGCATTCTGTGTTGTCCCCTGGGTGGATGGGCAGATGGGGAGGGGGCGGGGCTTCGTGAACCTGTTGACAAGTGCTTTATCCACAGAAGCAAATTTTGCACGATTGGACTGCGACTTTTCGTTTTGTATAGTTGTGTTTTCTTTTTTTTTTTTTCTTCAGCAGCTTCACTTTTCTTATCAGGCTTGGCTCTCCCCTCCTCTCTCCCACTTTTAGTTTTCATGCTGGGATGGGAAAGCAAAAAGTGTATGTGGAGTTCCTGGATGAGATCAAAGGAAACAAAACACAAATCTGCATTCTTGGTTCCTGGATGGGAACACACCACAAAACAAGGACCTGTCTCTCGAAGTTGTCAATAGCCAACGGGGACCGTTTTTGCTGCTGCTGCTGCTGCTGCTTCCTGAAATTCTCTGAAACGCACCTTTAAAATCCGCAACCTGGATTTTGCTTTATTTTTGTAATTTATGCTCTGGGTTCCTTTAAGAACCTGGCATGTCTGGGAGGGACTGAACCCGATAAGTTGAGTGGAGCTGTAATAACCAAATCCCGTAAACACCTGTCCACCAAGAGTGTCTCCCCAGTGTGTCTCGTTTTATCTGGATCCACCGCTGAAAGCGTGCCTGGCCGTCAGGTGTGGCGGAGAGAGAGCATCAGCCCCTCTTCTTCAGATCTTCTTTTGGTCTGCCAAGGACAGGAATGAGTTGACACTCTCTCAGATGCACCTGGCTGGAAGCCAACTGGAAGTCACAAGCACGGAAGGTACTGCTGCTGCCGCTAACCCAGGAGTGGTTTTACAAATCTTGCTTGATTGGCACCTGGTACAGATTCAGTGTTTCACGAGGCAGCTGAGGGTTGGGTGCAGGATTTGTGTGCCAAGGAAATGTCACTAATCCCAAAGCAATCAAAGAGACCTCAAACCGGATGTTAATTTGTCCTTTGTGTAACAGTGTAACCAAAATATTGATGATAAAACTCATAATTTAAGATTCAGAATAAATGGGTTTGATGTCTGGCTTGCTTTGATCCCTCTACACCGTCTCCCCAATAAGAGGAAGTAAAATCCAAGCAACAAAGGCATGAGGATACTGTGTCTTTTTAAAAAGCACACAAACAGACAGATAGAGATCCCTGAGTGTGCAGAGGCTACTGTGAGTTTGGATGAATATGACCCAAGTAGAAACCATGAGTTGATACTTTGGTATTTTTCAAGCTGGAAAGTTTGGAGGGGATACATAAGAGCCTTCAGGTTTTGTGGGTAGGTGGTTTGCTTTTATCATTTATTGTCTTTCATGGTGGTATAAACAAGATCTAACATTTCCATTAGTGATGAGTGATATAAAAAAACAACAAAACACCAGCATATAAGAGACTTGACTTCTGTGTGAAAATGGACAAGTCCTGGGTTTCTTTTTCAATTAGCAGATGTGTGTGTGTATGTGTGTGTGTGTGTGTGTGTGTGTGTGGGTACGCACACGCGCGTGCTTGTCGGGGAGAGGGGAGGGGTAAATGAGGAAATCTATAGTTTGATTAAGTTCTGCTGTCTTGCAGTGAACAGCAGAGTAGGATACCATTGTTTGGTGAGGGGTAAAAAAATCAACCAAAAAAAGGATTTAGGTACTTAGACTCTGTGACTAGAGGATACTTCTAAACCTGAGCATTGTTTATGGATGCTGGCGACATGAAAAGGAGCTGCAGTGTGTCCCCTGTTTATATTAATCTTCTTTTCCTCACATACTTAACTTTATGCCCAATTTAACACAAACAGGAAGCTTCTGAGAGGAAAATATTGTACTTCAGAAGGATTTCTGAGTACTTATATCCTTCATAAGTATCTACTTTTATCACTTATGTAAGTGGTCCTTGGTGTTAGCACTTTTATTCAATAGAGATTATTATCTACTTATACTGGATAATAAGATATTAATCTGATCAATCTGAAAATAAGTATTTCTGGTGTTTATTTTATATTAGGGATAAAATTGATAAGTGATTCTACTACTTCTGTCCTTCCTTTCTTGGTATGAATGCTTGAAGCTACTTTAGACTCAGGCCTTCAGATTTTGTCTCTGAAGTTGGTCTACCTGCATCTGCCTGGGTTGTGTTTGGCTGAACATCTTTGAGCAATGTTAAGCAACAAGGCCTGGTCAGCCCACCCAGGGGGCGGTAGTGAGTTCCCCCAGATGCACTCTGTTAACACAGCAAGGAGGGGGTTCCGGGAAAGCACACAGTGTGATTGATGAAGATAGTTTTAAGTGAATTGCTGACAGAAGGGTGCTCGTGAATGAAAGAACATTTCCATATGTGTCAAAAGACACTTAAAGCTAAGAAACGATATCGAAGTCCACACCTTTTAATTCCTTCCTCAGTTCTGCTATTTAGCTCCTGAGGAATACGTGCTCACTTTTCTCTTCCAGTACATACTGCCAACATTTATCAGTAGACAATAATAGATTTTCTGAAGCAAGCAAAAATGACATCATGTTTATAATTAATGTTATAGCATTTTAGTAGTAGTAAGTTGCTCTGGTCAATAAATGTCAGTTTTACTAAATTATAAGTGCTTTTAAGGAAATATTTTCATAACCTCTAAAATATATTCTAATTTGCAAACACAACCACGATGACTCAGTTCTAGATTCCTGAGCCTTGTTTGTATCCTTGTACATATCTTTGATATGTGTCTTCATGTATAAGTGAAATTACCTACATTTCTACAGGATGTGATTCACAGAAAAAAGATGATAAAAATAATCTACTGGATATTAGCATGGAAACTCATGAAATGTGAAGAGGTTCTAGGATTAGCTCATCTGACAAAATTAGTAAAATCTAGTTATATTGAGCATTTGAAATACATATATTGCTGAATATTTTAATTTTGCTTGCAATACGGTCTTGAACTCAAGGAAATGACAGTATTCACATACTTAGTAAATGTTACCTATATGCTGTCTGCCTGTGAACACACGAACATATATAGCTGGTCCTTTAACATGATGTTGTTATTTTTAAAAATAGATTGGCTACATTCTCCTGGAATATGAGGGGGAAATTCATGTGACAATATTTTGCAATATTTTATAAGAAAACATGTTAGCAAGATAATTTTGCTGTGAAAAAATAATGTTTCTTTTTCTATAGCATAGGAGATTATCATAATCTCATAATGCAAACATGCAAAAAAATGAAAATACATTATTTTCAAGGTGATGAAAATATATGGGAGATCATAGAATCTGCAGGTTGCATTGAATTGTCCTAAAGATTCATCTAAAGACTCTCTAAAAATATACTTGTATAAAAGGCAAAGCCAGAGAATTAACTGTAGAATTGCCATGAGCTTTGCCCCTTTGCCTTTCTTCATGGAAATTTACTTGTCATTAAGATGCTAAGTCCTAAGCTGGCATTTGGCTACTAAAGTGGAATATTATGAAGGAATTTAAAACTTTCAGTACCAAACTTACACACGCTCATGTGATTCACAACATTGTTTGTCCTCTCACTTAAAGAGCAAGTGTGCTAAATGTGCTACAGTAAGGGACCAGTGACTTGCTTTTGGTTTTATCCTTTCCCTCATTCTGTGCTTTGCAGCTCTTTTCTGATACACTGCGAAGAAAGTAATTGGTGATGGCCACAATTCTTAGCAAAGTCTGTGTGTCTGCCTAGAATTTTAAACCATATATATATATATATATATATATATATATATGGTTTAAAATATATACATTGTGTATGTGCATACAATTCATTTTGAAAGGTATCTTAAGTGTGATGGAGCAGGGCTCTCTGTGAAGCAGTTGGACAGAATTGTTCCATGCTCCCAAAGGTTAAAAGCCCTTCTGTAAAACATCCCTTGAATACAAACTTGAAAAACGTCACTCATCTGAGTCTAATAACATTGTACTAAACTCTGACTTCAGTAAATGATCTTTCCTCACACTCTCCAGCCCAGGAGGGAACGCTAAAGTCTACGAGGGTAAACACTGAAGTGCCACCTTCTCCCAATGTCACAGGTCCTGTGTCGTCTTCCTGAGTGAGTTTAGCTGTGGACGTCTATCTCAAGAATGGCTTCCACGTTTCACGTGTCGTAAATCAATCATCTTCATCGGCTGGCCTGTGCACACTCCCCGAGTGGAGTAAATGAGCTCCGTGACAACTTAATTTGGAAAAGAAATCTTCATGCTCACCTCTCACTGCCTGCAGCCGACTCCCCCGGGTCGGAAGGCTGCATGGCACAGGACGGCCTAGCAGACGGGATCCTCGTGACAGAGCCTGACCAGCCCAGCCCTAAGGATTCTCATTGTTCCTTCCCATTCTTCAGGAATGCTGGTTTCTCCTTTTGGTTCTGTATCCATTTGTAAAAGACCTTGGGGTGGAGAATGTGGGATATATTTTCGAGGGCTGAACTATATTGATTACTTCGCATGTCCATTTAATCTTATTCATTTAAAAATACTTAAACCAGTCTTTTACTTCCTTGAAGTACCCTATAAATTGTGCATCCTGTTATTTCTGTGACCTTTTACTGAAAAACCCACATTATGCCCACATTGTGCCAGGCACTGGTGGCTCATGCCTCTAATCCTAGTTACTCAGGAGGCTGAGATATGAGGATCATGGTTCAAAGACAGCCTGGGCAGGAAAGTCCATGAGACTCTTATTTCCAATTAACCACAAAAAATCTGGAAGTGGTAGAGCAGTAAGCTTGAGCAGAAACTCTCAGGGCCAGTGCTCAGGCCCTGAGTTCAAGCCCCAGGACTGGCGCGCGCACACACACACACTCACACACAAAATGCACATTTGTTTTGATTGTAGGCACATTGCTGTTATGAAACAGAATGTTCTAGTACAATGAATATCTCAAATATAATTAAATCATATTTGGCAAGCTCTTCTAATGGCCAAAAAAATCACTTATAATATTAGTACATGGAACTTAAAGATCCCATCTAAGAGTAGTACTCTATCGAACATTTTATCTATGAGATGTTAGTTTTTACAATCTTG